CACACACACACACACACACACACACACACACACACACACACACACACGCAGCCCTCTACAGTACTGTGGCGGCAACTGACCTTGTAACCACATGGGGGCAGCAGAGAGTCAAGAATGCAAACAGGCAGCCACCCCAAGAGGCTTGGAGAAGCTGGGTGGTCTTTCCCGCCCCACCCACACCCCCCTCAACCCTAACCCTAACCCATTAAGACCCCCAAGAATCTGGAATTGTTTGTCTAGCAGACCTGGGGTCCTAAAGAAACCAAACTATGAGAGTAGAAGATAAGACTCAGAAAAGAAGCCCGTTTTTGCTCCATGAGGGACCAGTGCCTGCCCCCGCCCAGCTGGGGGCCCTGCCAGAGAATCATTATCTTTGGCCAAAGTTGGGCCTGAAGGGTTATTATTTCAACCCAGAAAACCAAACCGGACTGAAGCGGCCCTGGGCTGGCGGGACTGGCTGAGACCAGCACCCCCGGCCTGTGGTCAGGCACTGCCCCACCCTGGAGACTACGGAATCCAGACAAGGTTCTCAAGGTCACAGTGCCCACGTTCTCAAGGTCATAGCCTGGGAGCTGGCAGAGAGCACCCCCCCCCCATATATCTATGGGGGCCTTGTAGCTCCCATCATGGAAAATAAAGTGTCTGTCTTTGCACAAGAGTTGGTCCTATGGTATTCAGGGCTATCCCCTCAGAGATGGAAAACTGAACAGAAAAGGGGACCTGGCTGGGCAGGTGGCAGCTGTGTCTGAGAGAAGACCACGTGTGCCACACCCCTCCCGCACCCCTGGCACGGCAGGACGGTCTCCACTGACTTCCACTTCATAGCCGTTGCTTAAATCATTCTGGGTACCCCACGTGTCTGACACACCCATTTTCCTTCTTCACGACCCCTTTCCTGCCACTGTGCCAGGAAGACAGGAGGCCCGGGCTCTCCCGTGCGTGCCAGGGCTGAGGTGACACGTGTGACAGCCCTCCCAGCTTCCAGAGTCTCACTCGGGCTCCCTGAGGGAGAGGAGAGGCTGGTGAAACATAGGCGGCTCAAGAAAAGTCCAGAAGAATCCTTGAACCCAGATGAACCCCGTGCTACCAGCCCAGTCCTGGAGACCTGGGCAATGGCCCCATCATTCATCCTGGTTCTGCCTCCAGTCTTGGGGTAATGCCCCCCCAGACCTCTCCAGACCCGTTGCAGTTAGGGATTCAAGGTGGACAGGCCATGGAAAGCCTCGCCGAGTGGTTCAGAAGGGGCTGCACCGATGTCCCTTTCCTACAGAGCCTTGGGAAGGGGAGAGGTGCTGCTTCTGTGCAGACTGAGCTGTGTGACCCAGTGGCACTGAGCTGTGTGACCCAGTGGCAAGGGCTGCTCTGGAGGAAGTGAAGAGACCTTCCCAAGAGACCTTGAACCACCACTGAGAAGCCCCTGCCGCCCCTCCCACTGCCCAACTGCAGTTCCAGAGGGGGCCCCTCTCAGCGCCCCGCCCAGCCCCCTCCCTGGCCCTGGACAGAGTCCACGGGAGGTAATGACCTCTACTGCATTTACATAGCTCATCTTTCCTCTAGGAAGATTTCATAGAGAACTTGACCTTTGCTGATGGGCAGAGCCGCCAGCCCAGCAAGGGCAGAAGGGACGGACCTCCACCAAGGCAGGAGCTGGGAAGGGAGGGGTCTTTGCACCCATGCAGGGACACCCAGGAGTTTCCTCTCCAGGCTTTGCAGTCCTGGGTCTTAAGCCTCTCTCCCCCATACCCACAATGTCAGGTCTCCCAACTTTCCACCCTGCCGCATCCCTTTCTCATCCTTCTCTCTACACATAAGTACACCATCCCTCCCTCCTCCCCCCCTCCCAGGGTCTCTCTCCTTCCTCACCCTTCTTCTCATCATACCTTCTCCACCCACCCACCCCCAAACCCATCCTCTCCCCCTTTACAGAAAAACCTTCCTACTCTTGTCCCATTTAATCCCCTCGCCCCTCTGACCCTGGTGGCTGGACCCACAGCAAAGCCCAGCTGCTGCTGGAGTTGATGGGAATGGAGGACAGCAGCCCGCTGCGCCACCAACCATTTCTCAAAACCCAGATTCCCATGTCCTCTAACCCCTGCCTCCTCCCTGGCTACAGAGTGGACTCCCCAGAGAGCTGAGGCACCCTCACCCCTACCCCATCTGACCAGCCAGCCCCCATACTCACCTCCCGCAGGTGGCTCACCTCTGCTTTCATCCTCAGCCCCTAACACCCTACCCCCACCCCTTACCCCTGGTCCTAACTCTCATGCTATCCAATAGGCTGAGAACTTGGAACAAGAGGGCAGGGCTGGGGGGCTAAAGGCCCCCAACCCAGAAGGCAGTACCTTGATTCATGCAGCAGTGCTTTCTGGCCGCATGCTCTATTCATGGGATCCAGGAAAATGGATGAATGTAACAGCGTTATAATGGAGGTTTGTAAGTGTCATACAGAGCTGGCAGGAAGGGTACAGAGAAGATGGGGAGAAGGAGGGCAACGTTACCAAGGCAGTAACATTTGAGTCGGGTCTTCAAGGATAAATAGGAGTCTAACAGTAAAGACGGGGGGGGGGAACCCAACTTTTGCTAGGGGGCTCCTATATCCTAAGTGCAATGTGAAGCGCATTATATATGTTTAATCCCATTTTACAGATTAGAAAACTGAGGCTCAGAAGGTTAACTTTCCCACATTCACCCAGCTAGTAAATGGCAGAGAAAAAGAATTCCAAACTTGTGCCTATTCCACTGGCTCAGCACTCAGACAAGCAGATGGATGAATTTGTGCCTGAAGCCCATAGGTATGAAAAGATTCCCTGTTCAGTGTGGCTGAAGCATACGGTGCCCAAGGGAGTAGGTAAGAGAGGAAGCAAAGGAAAGAGGGAGGAGCTGGATCATTAAGAGCCTTGGGTGCTAAGCTGAGAATGTCCAAGGGATGAATACTTGGTGAATGAATGAATGAATGAGGTTGGACTCAGGACCACTGTGTACAGTTGTGCAAGTTGTATGATGCACAATTGTACACGGCAACATGCTTGGACTTTATCCGGTAGGTAATGGGGAGACAACAGAGGCTTTTCAGACAGGGAGAGATGTGGGGACAGGAGAAAGGATCTGAGGCCTGGGCTGGGAAGGAGTGTGATGGGAAGAGGAAGCTGTGAAGACTTGGAGTTCAGGCCAGGAAAGAGATAGGGGCTCTCATCCTGAGGCAGGCTGGGACAGAAGCCTACCTGATCTGGGCCTGGGGCCTGGGTTCTCTCCGAGCTTGAAAGGACTACGTGGGAAAGAACAGGACTAGGGCTCCCCCTTCCCCCTGTATTAGTCTGCTCAGACTCTGCCATAACAAAATATCACAGACTGGGTGGTTTAAACAACAGACACTTATTCTCTCACAGTTCTGGAGCCTGGAGGTGTAAGATCGGGGCGCCAGCATGGTTGGGTTCTGGTGAGGATTCTCTTCTTGGCTTGCAGATGGCCACCTTCTAGCTGTGTGCACATATGGCCTTTCCTCAGGGCATTTTCCTCTTCTTCCAAGGCTACCAATCCTATCAAATTAGGACCCCACCCTTATGGCCTCAGTTAACCTCCTAAGTTATCTCCTAAGAGTCCTATCTCCAAATACAGTCACATTAGGGTCAACCTGTGAATTTATGGGGACACAGTTCAATCCATAGCGCCCCTCCATACAGAGCCCTGCCCCAGCCATGTTCCCCACCCCCATAATCCCCCCAGTCCCGGCCAGGCTGGGGCTCTCAGCCCCAGCAAAGCAGACCCTCTTCTTCTTGAGTCTGTGCCCTTGGAGCCAGCCAGGGACTCGTTTTGTAACTCTCTGCTTCCTGGAAGGTGTCTCAGCCTTCACTCCTTCCCAGTCAAATCTTACCGGGGGGCTTCCCTGGTGGCGCAGTGGTTGAGAGTCCGCCTGCCCATGCAGGGGACACGGGTTCGTGCCCCGGTCCGGGAAGATCCCACATGCCGCGGAGCGGCTGGTCCCGTGAGCCATGGCCGCTGGGCCTGCGCGTCCGGAGCCTGTGCTCCGCAACGGGAGAGGCCGCGGCAGTGAAAGGCCCGCGCGTACGTCAAAAAAAAAAAAAAATTCTTGCTGAGGAGCAAGTGGAGCTTGGCTTGGAGCAGGCCTAGGGGGCAGGAAGACAAGCCAGGAAGAGGGAACCAGAAAGAGAATAAGGAGGGGGAGGAAAGGGACAATGAGTCTCGCTCACTCATTCACCTGCGTCACCAAATACCACGCTGAGCGCCCAAGTGAGCGATGCAGAATTAGGTGACTCCCGGTTGGCTAGGAGGTCGGGAGAGGCCTGCACATGACCCAGGAGAGAGCTTCTCTCCTGCACAGCATTAGGGTTGGACACCCCGTGAATACCGAGATGGGATGTATCCTTTCCTTAGTTCACCCCACTCCCCTGCGCACGCACACACGCAACTTCTCTCTTCTGCATCAAGAATTAGAAGCCTGGTGGTCAGACAGATCTGGGTGGCAGGTCCCCTCTGCCATTGATTAGTTGCATGATTTAGGGCAAGCCACTTCCCTGGGCATTAAGCCTCTGTTTCCTCGATTGTAATATCCGCCTCAAAAAATTAGAGACACACTGGGCATGAACACACTTTGTAGCCTGTGGAGTACCAGTGTTCATTCTGAGAAGGCTAGCACTCCTGTCGACCTCTCATTGGGCACCTAATATAATGCCACGTACCAGGCTGCTGGAACAGGAGCTCGACGAAGAAGAAGACTCGCATGTTCACTGCTGGATCCCCAGCACCTAAAACAGTGCCTGGCGCACACTAGGCCTATAGTATTTGTTAGAAGCTTTGCCGTGTATTATCTCATTTAATCTTGATAGCAACACTATGTAGGTATCATTATTTACCCTCATTTGATGGATACGGAACTGTGGATTGGGAGATTAAGTCCATTTCCCAGGGTCCAACCATAATAATGGTAAAGTGTGATTTGAACCCAAGCGATTTGGACCCAAACCCATAGTGATTCTGATAATGATGACATTTGGAACTTATTGAACCAGAGGTCATCAAGTCCAATCCCCTACCTCCATCTACACCAGGATAGAGTTGTCTGCCCCTCCTTCTGGTGTCTCTGACAAGCCCCTCTTCTCCCACCAGCGATTAGGTCCCCATCCCACTCCAGCCGCTACACCAGGCTGCTCAGACTGTTACAAAAGTCCCCTGTCCCTCTGTCTGCCTGAAAGGTGGCATATTTCCCTGTAATCTTCCACCCAGAATCTTCCATCAGGACCTCCTTCCTTCCTCCCAAATATTATAGCCCTTCCTAGCTTCCCCTTTCTGGAGCCGGAAGAGTCTCCCCTGCCCCCACTGGGAGACGGTGCCAAAAGACCACTGCCCTGAGTTCTCATCTGTATGCCACCAGCTCATTTATGCCTTCAGGCAAGCAAATCACAGACCCCATTTGGCCTTTGTTTTCCATCTGTGTAATGGGTGAACTGGAGAAGAACTTGAAAGCTGCTCCCAGCCCCGGTCTTCTCAGGAAGGACGTTTCTCAGCCATTAGGCTGGAGCCACCCCTCTCCCTAACAACCCCTCCTCCACCCGCGCGCCGCCCTACACCCCCCTCTCCAGCCCAGGAGATGCCGCCCAGCTCTATCCCGAGGCTTCCTGTGTGGTCTTCCCCACCGCCC